TATATTTGGTACAAGGTATTATGTATACATATGCACAATTATTTATTTGGTACAGGGAAACATATATAATTATTTATTTATATATTTGGTACACAGTCATGCTACAAAGCTCAGACTCATAATGATCCTCCTGTCTCAGCTTCCCCAGTGCTGGGATTACAGGCGTGCACCGCCGCACCTACTTTCGGTGGTCCAGACCCTCATGGCATGCATTCCTGAGGTTTGAACCTGGGTCCTTGTGCTTGCCAGGCCGGCATTCAGATTGCCAAGCTATCTCCCCAGCCTGGCAGGTTAACTTCATAAAGAAAAGAGTTTTCTCATGGTCCTGTGGTGCAAGGTTGAAGGGAAATATCTGGTGATGACTTTCTTGTTGGCAGAGTCCCCAGCAGCACAGGGCATCACATGGCAAGAGACAAGGAGTGTGTGTGTATTGTCTGCCTTTCTTCTTTTAAATGTATTTAGTACAGGGTCTACAGGGTCTCACTACACAGATGGGTCTTTTAGTGATCCTCCTGTTTTCAGCCTCCCAAGCGCTGGGATTGCAGGCGGGTGCTACCATGCCCATTCACTCATCTTCTCAGCATGCCCCGGGGGTGGGGTTGGCACGGCATGCCAAGCTGTCTGCCTCTCTTCTTGTGGAGGCTTAGGTCAGCCTGAAAGTGGGGGCACAGCCACAAGATGTTCACTACATGTTATTTCATGAGCAAAAGCCTGAATCTCGAGGGCAAGGCCGTAGTCTCTCTTCTGATCAGGGTTCACCCTGGTGACTGTCAAATCCTAATCGCATCCCAAAGGCTCCAGCTGGAAACCCCACAGTCAGATTGACATAAGGAATGAAACTGCCCACCTGAAAGATACCTGGGCTGAGTTTGTGTTCTGTAGAACTGCAGAAGAAACTTTAGGAACAAGAGGGTAAGAGCAGAATATACTTATTGAGGGGGAAGAAAGCTCCTGTCCAAGAGAGGGACAGAAGGGGGACCCAAGTAGGTTGCTCCCTAATCCGTACTTTTCAAGGATTTTTATAGAGCAAAACATGCAGTGAGGCAGGTCTGAGGTGAAGAACATGGGAACTTGCTTAGGTGGGCATGAAGTGGGACAAAACTGTGGACAGCCAGTGAAACTACAAGCACAACTGCTCAAGTAAAATTGATTAAATCCAGGACCAAATGGGAAAGTGAGTCAGACAGCAAGCCGTGGGGCTTTTCCTGCAGGAGGGTGGGTCAGTGACTCTCTGGCTTCCAGGCGATTGATATGTATTTAGAATATCAATCCCTGAGGCTGATTCCTAGGGAAGTTCGTGACTACATTTGTTTACTCTTTTGTCTTGATTTTTTTTAATACTTTAGATATCCTTTATTTCAGAGGACTTAAAATTTATAAAGAAAATGTAAAATTGTTTCACTAATACCAAATTCACAACATAGATATTTTTTATTTTTTTTTTACATTTGTCGAAGAGTTTCATTTTTTTCGGCTGACCCCTAGCAGGGGTGTTTGTCTCTCCCAAAGTTGCAAAGTCATGTTGTCTTTCATGTCTCCTTGAGGACAGTCCTGTCTGACCACCTGTGATATTTTTATCTCACTCGGCTTCCTGCAACAAGATTGTTTCCACCCTCTTAATGCCTCACGATAGAAATTACACTTAAGCACAGGAGACTTTGGAGCACTCAGAATGTATCCAGCTGTAACGATGCATATCTTCCTGGCTGAGCAAGACCAAAAGTTCAGAAAATACTGACTGTACACCTACACTACCCAGCAGGAAGGGGACCTGGGATCCAGCGAGCCACATGTCACGATGGTGCCAGCCCGCGGCCACCAGATGGTGCTATAGACACAGAAATGCTGGTGTCCTTCCAGTTGTGCTGTTGAGAGAGGAAAAGGGATCTGGGGCTGGCCAAAGTCAGTGTGCAGGATCTGCTAAGGTCATGACTTCCCTCTGAGATGGGGACCCTATACAGTCTCCCTGATTCTATGTGAATAATCCATGGCCTCT